TTATTATATGTAGATTGTTCATAGCTTATTGTTTCTCTATTTTTTATAGCAACAGCAAATATACTATAGTTTGGTCAAATTAACAAATGTTTTCTCCAATCTGCCGTCGATGTGATTATCCATGTCGGATATACCGGATATAACATGAATAAACGAGCCGTATGTACATCATTGGCAGGTTGTGATATCGGAGGCCGATCAATCATCCGGACATGATGGCCTTCGTTCGAATTTGGTTGCCAGTGATAAGTTTTTTTTTTTGATAATCATTTTCATAATCGAAAACATCCACAAGAGAGGTCTAGTTAGATAATTAACTAAGTTCACACAGCGCGTACTAAAAGCGTACTAAGAAATCCTATCATCCTTCTTTCGATTACCTCCCATGTATCAAAGGTACGCGCTGTCTCCTTTTTCTTTTTTTTTTCTGTTTTGTTAAACGTTTACACGAAACAACGCAATGTGTACGTAATTCAAAAGAGTTTCCCCCCTCCCCTTTCCCAAAGAATACTTTTAATGTTAAGAAAGTACTCGGCGCATTACTTTCTCTCACGTCCGTCGCATTAAATGCCATCGCGATTAACTGGCGAATAATCTTATATGTAGTCCCTACATTTATAATATTATATACAATTGTTTGGCACCGAAGTTGTCGCGTCTTTTCCTTTCGTTTCTTTTTTTTCTCCTCCAAATCGTATGCCAGCGAAGATCCAATGTGAACGTACGCCCGTGTATCCAAGAGTGACATTAGGTAAACGGTACTTGTCAGCGAACGCTCGGTGATCAATGATAGCACTCGATGATTCGTATCAGTGCACCAAGGATCGAAACCTTGGAAGCTCGTGAAACAATATTGCCTTCGATTCGCATGATCCTGTCCCCAATCGTTGCCCATCACGAACGCTTCAATTGCGAACGACGCATGCCGATGATGTTTAAGTGCATTAGCATATTACAAGATCCTCTTCCTCTTCTCTTTTGGCATAGTTTTATAAATATACATATCTTTTTTGCGTCCAAGTCCTTCGCCCTTCATGTTACAATGGAATGTGTATGATACCGCTTCCGTCGTTATAGGAGCCTGTCAGAGCAGGTGATGTGGTCAGTACATTGCCAATCCGATTCTTTGACATATATGTTACATATCGCATCTTTTATCCGCTACATTTTTCTCGTCATTGAGACGGATCGGCAAAGCACTTCGTTCGCAATGCGGTCTTATCGTTACGAAAGTTACATTAATCTGTTTGTTTTTTTTTAATCCTTCTTCTTAACCGTATCCTAGAAAAAACTGACTGCCACTGGTTCTCAGCGAATTCCAGACTGCCCAGCAGTCAGACATACATAACAATTATCACAACTTAATATCGTAATACTAATACAATATTATGTAAATATATTAATATTTAATCATAAATATTCTCTATATATATATATATTATTAACAACTGACCTGTTTGCGTTTTACATCGTGTGATACACGTTTCGTATCGTAATACTGTATAGATCGGTAAAATACCATACGAAACGTAATATACATTACGACCTCCTTTTTTTCTGGACTACCAAGCTTGGGACGTAAATGGAAATCAACATCGTCGTAAGTACGCATAAAGCGTGTTAATTCTTCCGATACTGGTTAATATGTGCGTGTACGTGTATGTGTAATAATGTGTTACCGTGTGTGTTAAAGTCTATTATAATTTTACTAAAAAATATTGATCGATAAAAGCTACGCATATAGTACTAGAATTATTAACATTTAAAAATGAAATCTATTTTCATTTTCTATTAATGTAAGAATAAACATTAACAATCATTGAGTCGATAATTTATGCTGTATATATGTGTGTATTTGAAATCCTTATCTACCCGTCCCTCTTGCTTTCATGAGTGTTATTTTGTGTTTTTCGCGTTGTATTTATATTAAGTTCGTACAGCGCAAACGCTGTCGGAATAATTCGAGGCCGATTTTTGTTTTGTTACATACGCTAGTCGATCAAGTTTCTCTATGTGGCTACGTGTCTTGCGTTACCGCAACATGTTCGATCACTTTCACATAATGTTTGTTCACTCAGAAGAGGTCTTCGTCCGGATCGCTCGATGGTGCAGCTTGAAGCGCCAATTGCATGCTAGATTCCGTGTTACGCCGCTTCATTTTACCCTTAGTCTTCTTCAGCATCGTAGCCTAGGAAGGGACAGGATCAGGGAGCACACAAAGGAGCAATCGATAAAAATGTCAGTCACTACCGCTGACAAAATAGAAGTATAAATAGAAATAGAAATAGAAAATGGAAATTACAAACTTACAGTTAACTTATACGTAGAAAAAGAAAAGATAAGAAACGTTCTTTTGTAAAGCTAACACTACTATCCGATAATAATGCGTCTAATTCACACATTACAAGCTCGAGCTAGCTGCATTGGATCGAGGCATCGAGAAGGTATCACGAGGAATTCGATCGAGGATCGGTTTTACATGCATCAACGAGGAGGGATCAAGGTTTCTTTTTCATTCTATCCTGTTTCTGTCTTTTTTCTTTGTATAAGTGGAATTGTTTCAGATGGCATGTTTGTCACACCGAGACTCCTTTCTCGCGCGTGCATTCCGCTCGTGCGCGTCGAGGAGTCTAGGTGGTGATGTCGCGCATCTTACGAGATACGATTAAAACAAACGGTTGTAAGTTGTGGTATAGTTGGATTACTCGTCCGTGCTCTTGCCCCCCTCCCCATTAGCAGGTAGAATCGACGGTTCGGTATTGCGACGCTTGATCTTACTTTTCTTCAACATGGTAGCCTGAAGTGAAAGGAACAAGGAGATATTAGTCGAGTGCAATTAGGGAAGGAAAGCATGCGCTGATAGGTATCAGCAATCAGGTTACGCTTTTACGGAGAATACGTAGAGTATCGTAATATAAAATAAAAAGTGCTACAAACTAATATACAGGGATGCCTGTTATAAAAAGTTCTACGTGCCACAAGAATGTGTGCCCCATTATTCTACTTAAACTCGAACAGAATGCAATGCGCAGTTTATTATATCTGGAGATTATATATTATATAGAGATATTACCGTGCTAAATATCGATATATTATTATTATCGTGTTAGTAAACGACTCTACATCACGTTCTGTCCGTTATTTTTGTGGAATTAGGAGGAGATTTTATAAGAACATTTATGTCAAAATATTACCTTGAGCGCTGATTTCAAGACTACGATGTCTCCGGGACTCTGAACCCATGGTTCACCGTCTACTTGTACAGGTATGTCTGAGTTTAAGTGAATTTTTATATGTCCGCCCTATCAAAATGCAATGACAAATGAATTAATACATATTGCATTAAGAAAGAAAAACAGAAGATATCATTTTAGTATTATTATTTTAGTTTACCTGCGCTATTCTCATAGCCGTACGTAAACCCGACTGTATTTGTCCAAGATGCATAACGCCCGTGACTCCAACAACTTCCAACATGCCGTCCCAATGATTCGGTGTATAAAATTGATCTTCTTTGGTATCTGGTCCCCAAGGATTAGCACCAGAACCCCAACTAAATGACGAAAAAAACATTATTTAAAACGACACATAAACATGTATAAAACATGTCTCCTCTTTTATAATAATATATTCTACAATGATCACCTTAAAATGTTCAGAATAATTATTCCTTCAACTTGTGGTAACTCGACCAATTTACCATCTACTTCTAATCGAATTTCTTTATGTAAATCTTTGCACGGTTTACGTTTGACCATTTTACGTAAGCCCATCGTTACGTACACGCTCTTATTTCGTAATCTGCTTTTGAACTTATTTGGATTTTCCTCTCTCGCATTATGAAAGTCCAGACATAAATCCGCATCGATACCAATGCCAAAATAATTGTTCATTACATATATTTGTGTATTGTCTTCGCTAGTTGTACCAGCACCTGTAATATGCAAATGGCGCGATGCTACCTGCTGAGAAGCTGCAACATTTCCATTTCATTAAAATTCTCTTATTTAAATTACAAAACTCGTTCGTATCATTAAGAAACGTGTCTCTTACCCGCAGCGTTACAAACTACTTGAGTTTGTTCCTTCTCTTCTGGATGAAAAACTACAGTCCATCTATCCAATATTATTTCTTCTGCATCGATAACGTCTCGCAATAGGTTTAATGGATCCTCGTCACCTGTATATCCTGAACCCCAACATAATACACGAGCAAGATCGTTTCCTGTTCCCAGAGGTACAATAGCGCAGGCGGGAGAAGAACATTGACTATCCTGACCCACATTATCTAAACATTGTAATACCCAGCCTATCGTTCCATCTCCACCACAAACTAATATCTTGTAGTCTTTTATATGACGAAAAACGTAAAGTCTGTAACATAAAGAAAGCATTAATTTCTAAGTGAGCACTCATTTGCGCGTAAGTATATCGTTATGCTTCGGAATATAAATATAATCCCTATTATCTGAAGCAACATGATCTACTTACCCGGGGAGAGGTCCGCCATTTTCAAGATCGAACACTTGATAAGGATTTAATAGTTTACGAAAACTAGAAATTAGCTGAAGTCCTTGACAGCCGCCAGATTTTACATTTACAAACACGAGCAATGGTTGAACGCCCGTCGGTATCATACTTGGCTCGATACTCGGTAAAATCATTACTTGCGGAAGAAGAAAAAATAAGTGAATATTTCAATATATATTTTATTAAAAATCAATACAACAGAAATAAAACATGTATACTGTATTCCATATCTATCTCTCTTGATATTATCAATTAACAAGTAGTACATTTCTTTCTCAGATATATTAAAAATTCACATCAGATATATTAAAAGATATAAAAAAATAAATATATATCACATAAATACCTAAAAGATGTTTATCTTCATATTTTGTTTCTCGTAACGTATATAACGCTCTAACTGCCGTATCCAAATCTTCGAATATAATAACTACCGAACCGTATTCATAATAAATTGGGCCAATTGATGAAAATCTATTTTCTAAAAAAAGTTGTTATATATATTTTATTATATATATATATATATATATATATATATATATATATCAATATTTCTGTAATTTCGTAGATAAAACAGAATTAATTTCCCTCTGGATAACCAACCTTTTCCTAAAAATTCTGTTAACATATTTTCATAACTTCTTTCAGAAAGATTTTGCGGTAAGTTACCCACGAATAAAGCCAAGTTAGGTCCATGGGGATCTTGCTTCAGTTGTAAATAGAATCGCATCAATTCCATTTGTCTAATAGAATCTTTTCCCAACTTTTTAACAATATCCCAAGGTCTTTCATCCCAAGACAAAACTCTTTCCGTTACTAATAAAAATAAAACTCTTATATTTTTCATGCAATAAACAAAACGAATTCTAAAGAATATTCGAGCTAAATTTGAGTAAACGTCAAAGAATAGATTCGAAACGTACCACCACGGTCTAAAAGAATTTCACTGCATCTAAAGTCATCACAAGTAAAATTTTGTAAACCAAACTTTTCCAATGCCTCATTTATTAAGTCTGCAACGGTTGTTGCTTCGGTGACAGGTACTGTACAGAATGACTCTGATACCTGCAATTTGCCGGGATAAACCCGTACCTCTCCGCTGTCATTATCTCTGAAATCACATGAAATTACATGTTACATCGCAACATTCTTTCATTTTTAATATCGTATAATTTCATTTAAATATCGTATAACTTCAAATCCATCTTCTATTTTTCTTAAAAAATAACTTAAAAAGGAAATATTCTAAATATATTCCTTCTTTTTAAATGTAGTATATATAAAATAATGTATATAAGATAAATTTAGATAAATGTTTAGATAAATAATAAACTTACTTAAATCGCAAGAAAACAGCCGGACGTTTGCCTTCTTTGCGAGTTAAATTTAAAACAGGCGTTGGGTCACATAATTCAGTTTCTTCCGCGGCATACAGGTCAGTTAAGTAAAAGTTATCTGAATTTTCCCAAAAAAGGTTTCATTAATTATATCTAACAAAATCTCCACACTTATTATATTAATATAGTCCATATGTACGCACTAGGATCTTTTGTGATGTGAAATGCGCGCAGTGCCAATGTGAGAACCTGCTCCGTCGTAGCCTGCCTGGGTACCGAAATTACCCGAAATATCCTTCGCCTTAAAGAACTGTTGCCATCGTACACTTTAATCATTTCTGTGAGAGAATCAAATTCGCAGATTAGGCGATAGATAATTTCGAAATTAATAATCGGAAGTTGTATTGAAATACCTTCGTCACCTCTATCTTTATCTTCTTTCTCTTTAGGAGAACGCGGATCACGGCCATGCGCTGCACCCTGTGCCGGTTCTCCATTGTCACGATACCTTGAATCGCTACCAAATTCCTCTGATATGCTTCGCGCTGTTAACATAAAAAAAAAATCATACTTCGAATGTTAGAATATACTTAATATAAAATACAAGAATACCTAAATGAAATAAAATGTTGTTAATATAAAGTACAATAATATTTAAGTGAAACAATAAAACCTAAACGTAATAATCTCCTCTTCCGTTGAATATATTGCGAAAATTTCATTCCTTTTACTCAGATAACATTAATGGTGTTTTTCTTGAAAAGCGTTACGAAATATTTTATATCATAAACAAAATTTAATGCAATCTTAATAATATTAGTCTATAAGAAAAAGTTTTTGTATTATTAAATTTTTGTAGAATTTATTACTTATAATTGATTATTGTCTCGTTTAATTGTATGGAAACTATCAGTGACGTTTAAATCACCAGTTTGTGTACAAATATTCGAGAAAAATTTGCATGAAACAGATACTTTAAGGGAAGTAATGAATAAATTTAAGAACACTTTATAAACACAAAGAGCGCTGTAACGACTCTGTTTATTCAAGAATAAATTACATCTCTTACCATCGATTATTTACGATGGATTTGTAGAACACAGACACGATAGGAAGAATTAGTCAGTAGTATTCTTGAACTTCATTTCACTGCATAGTAGAGTGATAAGCATCATGGAATCTCATAGCATCCAGTGGGCTGAATGACAGTGCATGCACTGAAGCGAGACATACATACATGCTAAACGTAAACAGTAACAAAATACATCCATAAAAAAAGTTGATGCACCATGATATTTATGTAAATGCATGTTGTGTGAAAATTTATCATGTTTGATTTAAACGATATCTATTTTAATAAATATATCAATATTTTCTGCTTCCTAAATTAATTTTATGTAAATAGTGTCCTTTTGCTATCAACTACTCACATTTGTTTGACTCAAGCAAATTCACAAGAGATAAAGAGTAATTTCATGTTAATTAATTATTTATTAGGAAATTAGTTCAATCTCATTTTAATAAAATATACTTACTTTTTCATATTGTTTAAATATATAAATAGTGAATATAATTAAAAATGTATATGTATGTTTACTTTATTGCGCCTGTAAAATGTATGCATGTGTGTGTGTGTGTGTGTGTGTGTGTGTGTGTGTGTGTGTGTGTGTGTGTGTCGTAGTA